GGGGCTCCAGGGGCCGGGCCGGCGCTGCTGCTTGCAGAGGGTCCTGGGGAGCCGCGGGGCGGTCTGGCCGGGGTACGTGGGGGCGGCACGGCCGGACCTCTTTGTTACAGCCCGGTTGTGCGGGGTCGGGTTTTGTCCTTTCCTCCTCTTTCCTCCTGCCTCAGAGAAAAGTTTCAGCTTCTCGCGGGTGCGCTCGGATCTGCTTCTCTCCCTGCTCCGCTGTAGTGCCGGGTTTCAGCAACTTCCTCCTGTAGTTCTAGCCTTTAAAGTTCAGTTTTCCAGCGTGCTCATGTTAAGTGCTGGAGAGTTTTCTTTAATATCTGTGCTTCAAAGGTTTTCTTTGTGGCCACTTCCCCTCTCCTCGTGAATTTTTATGATTTCTGATATTGTGACTTTGTTCTCTTTGTAAGGAGTAGTAAATCCGTGAAGCCAGTTTCATTTTCAGGTTGTTGCTGGAAATGTTTGAAAGTGTGGCAATTTCTGCCCGGCGTGGCTTTGAAAATTAGAAGTCCTACTACAAAGCGTATGCTGATTATGGTAACAAAATTCTCTGTGTGAAAAAGTGATTTATTTTAAAATGTAGTTGGCAACTGTTGCTATTTTTCAAATCTAAACCTAGTCATAACTGAAAGCTGCAGGGCAATCTGTTGTATTTTAAATTTAAATTACTTTTCAGGTTTGAGGACCTGCATTTACCTATTTATTGAATTCAACAGTTTGATTTTGACTTAAAAGGAATGGAGTAAGACTGTGAGAATCTAATCTGGAGCCTTTAATGAGAACTAAAACAATATATTCCCTTAAGAAGGCATGTCAGTTGTCTTTACTCATTCCTTCAGCCTAGGCAAGTTTTGAGCAAGTGTGTGATGTAGGCTGTAGGAAGCTATGCAGAGGAATCTTGTCTCCCAGGAATAGGTGTTCTTGAGAACATGTGGGCTTGTGCATGTGCAGAAAGATTGCAAACTGAAAGTAAGAATTCTCTTCATTGTTCCCTAAAGAGTGAGGTGCTTCTGGCAGCAATGGTAACATGCACAAATGTTCCCTCTCATTGGCTTTCATTTTTCTTACCTTTTAAAATTTGATTTAATTTTGCAAGGCTTTTCATATCTTCTGCAAACCAGTACTGCATTCCTTCATTTGTCAGGTAAGTTGGTACACTCTGGGCATATGGGATCATTTGCTGAGCCTGTCTCTGAGCACGTGGAATGAATTCAGGAGTTGAAGACTTTGGTTTTGGGTTGGTGGTGGTTTTGGGGTCCTTTACATTTAAATTTTGGTTTGGTTTGGTTTTTTTAATGGTAACACAGTGTTTAAAGTGAAATATTTGCCTCTTCCAGATACTCCTGTAAAGGCTTTGTAGAAACGTAATGGAGTTTGTAACAGATTTTTAGTTTTATCAAAACTCAGATATTTCACATATTAATCATCACACCCCCCTCCAAAATTTCCTGCTAATGTGATATATTTTTTTATGAAAGAGTCTCCCCTCTTGTGTGAAACCCCCTGGGGAAGAGGCTATGGACAAAACCATTGGCAAACAGCAGAAACTGGCTTCAGACAAAATGCTGTCATACATAGCAAATGAAGAGACAGGAAAAAACATTTCTGTAATTTTCCAGCAGAGATTTTACTTATAATAAGAGTGGAAGGCACATTTCCAGATAGAGGTGAGTTGCTTATATAAAAAAAGTAAGTTTGGTTGGTTCTGATTTCCAAGAATCCCAAGATGTTTAGCTTGGGGGTTTTTTGTTTGTTTGTTTTTAATGAAAGCTGAAAGTGTGTTTTCTTTAAATTGGTACCATGTTTGAATTTTCTTTTTTGGTTGTGTTCTGAGGCATAATTAGGCTTCAGTTCCACAGGCACAAGTAACTATTCTACTGTAAATTATTTTGGCCAACTTGAGTTCAGAAGAGTTGCAATAAATTAATTCTGTTGTAGTGTTTCCTTGACATCCAGAGGTGAAACTAAGTTTGTGGCATAAAGCCTCAATGAACTTCTGAAAACAAAACCTGTGCATCAAATCTAAGTCTAACTTGGAAATACCCTTGGATCCATTAAGGATATGTGATTAAAGTAAATCTGTCTTACAACAGACCCTTGGCTTGAAGGTTGTGGTGACCTCATTGTTGACCTTGGTCTCAGAACCCATCTGTCTGTAGTTCTGTCCTAATTGGGGGGGGTTGGAGCTGAGTATAGGAAGTGATGCCTCTGTTCAAGTGCTGGTATGCCTTTGCTGAGCTGCAGCTCTTGTACTCCAAGCTCTAAATTGCTGCCATTCTGAATTCAAGCCCCAGACTGAATTTAAAAGTAACAACAACCATTTGGAGTGGTTTGCAGCCTTTCTGTGGCTGTTTTGGATCATTCTC